TCTCACCGAAATAAAATGTTCGAAATGCACGATTTTTTGTGTTCATGATTTCATTTATATGTATGCTCTTGTGGTATATATTAACAAAGTTTATTTCGTCGTGCAAGAAATCCCCAAATATTATAGAAAACAAAATACTATACATGACAATATTAAATTTCATTGCAATTGATAGGAAGGTGCGGATGATCAGAAATGATCATTGTGAGTCTGCGACACTAAAATTTAGTACGAGTCAAAATTTAAGAAAAGAGGCTCTAGACACAAAAAGAAACTTTTAAAAAACTTTATAATAAAGTAGAAATAATATAAATCTTTACATATTATTTGAATAGGGAAAATAACTTAGCAGTTGGGGGAAAAAAAATTAGGACACAATATTTTCAAAAAATGTTTCATTTTATTATTCCGCTGTACATCGGTACGACTACTGAGCTTAAATTATTATTTATTGACACATGCAATATTAAAATGCACAATAATTCATAATCAAGAAAAATAATACATATGTGAGTATTTACAACAGAACTGTGTGGTGTTATTCGTTCAATTCACCGCGAAAATCCTGCGAAATCGGTTCTCTAAAATCAGCAGTAACTATCCGGTTAACCGTATATTTAAAATACGGAATACCCGGATATATCCGTTATCCGGATAGTGAAAATTATAGGTATCCGAACTAACCCTAATTCTGACCGACCCCTTTCAACTTGTATAATCTATCAATGTGAATTGCCCACACAAGAGTTTATATCAGAGGAATTTTTCCTTATATTATGTCGATTCGAATCTAGTCCCGTGCACTTACCGGTACATCACCCACGTGTTTGACTGGCTGAGTGAAATAATCTGGTTACCACCAGAGTATGCCAGTGAGCCCCTAATTATCGAGAGAGAGAGAGAGAGTTTATATTGGCATTTGGTGATTCCGACTATAATCAGCTTGACGATATATTTTGAGAAATATAAAATTATTAATATGGTGTGCCAAATCTTTATTCGTTTTTTTATTTGTTTGTATTTTTTCTTTTTTCAAGTACCGTAATCGATTTTATGTCTCGCTATTTGGACACGTCAGTGTACATAATAATCGTTTCAATACTATGTTGTTGTTCTTGTTAGTAATATTCTTCTTCTCTTTTGTCATGATGGAATCGCTTTTCTCTTCGAATACTGGAACAATTGCTTTATAATTTGCAGTGGTTAAAGATTGATTTTTTTGCCAGAAGGCTATTACTTTTACTTATTTCAAAAATTTCTGTGGACTTCATAAGATTCGTTTTTCATTTATTTATAAATAACACGTTTTCTTCTCTCTCGTTTTAGATAAATCATTTAAAACGTGTAGGAGAGCTTTTTTGCTATCGACTAGGTCAAAAAAAATCTCGCGCCCAAATCATTTTTAAATTAGGACTAGGTATCATTCGCAGGGTAGGTCTTTATGTCAATGAAACACGGTATTATGTAAGCCATGTTATTTTATAGTAGTAATGCTCTATACAGGTTGGTCAAAGGTTTATCGGCTCCGGGGGCCACAAAATTACTTTTGCATTGTTCGCGGGCCACAATAATAGGTAAACAGTGTAATATAAAACGAACACTTTTATCGCGCAAACACACTGATTAGTAGGCTATTTGTCAGTTATCAAACTGAAACATGCAAAAACCACGAAAAAACTTACTATTTCCATATCTACATTTGGTGTAAGATTTCAAACACTTCACAACTAAAAAAGTGTTTCCGCAAATGTGAGTGCTTTCGAACATCGATAATATTTTCAAAGCAAAATCAAACCTTGGAAAAAGATATTCTTTTGTCACCAAGACAACTTGCCGCCCACATTTGGTTACAAATCTGTTTGAATTCGTCAGCTTACTTTTCAAACTCATGTATACAAATTCACTTGCCAAGCCCATCATTCAACTTGCCCAGTGTAGTTACCTCAGCTGGACTAGCCATAAAACTAGTTAATTCAGTGACATTAGTGGTGTAACATTGCATCGAAAGATTTTCTGGTTCATTTTATGACGAAACAATATCAAATGCGATATTTTGATCACTCTCCGAATGCGAATGCGGGCTACAAAAAATAAAGCTGGGGGGCACATGTGAACTGCGAGCCTGAGTTTGGACCACCCTGCTCTATACATTAACTGTGCATTGCGCGATTCCATCTGAGTTGAAGTATTCTTCACATGCCTGCCCAGTAGAGCCATATACTGATGACGCATTTGCCCTGGGGCTGGTTTTCATTATGATTTGTGATAATCAAATTTGCTCTCAATCACACTATAATATGAAATAAACCAGGTTTTACTGCAGCATAATGCGATATTGTTTTACTATACTACCGATAGAGCATTAAAACCCAACCAAATCCTAAATCTAAACTGCCCCAACTGTGGTATTATTCCCATACAATAGGTATAACATAGCACTGTTGTGATCTAATTTCTATTCGTGCTTGCCCTATTTTTATTGTTTACGGCGTGGCGCATGAATATTTACGGCTGGTCTACGTTCCGCTGTTCTGGAGGTAACACGTGAATCTGATGCTGTGCTCTATTTTATCGTAATCGTGCTTGCCCTATTTTCATTGTTCACAAACTGGTTTACGTTTCGCTGTTCTAGAGGTAACACGTGAATCTGATGCTGTGCTCTATTTTATCGTAATCGTGCTTGCCCTATTTTTTTTGTTTACAAAGTGGCGCATTAATATTTACGACTGGTCACGTTTCGCTGTTCTAGAGGTACCTTAACACGTGTGTTTGATGCTGTGCCCTGAGTAAGAGTAAATGTCAATTGTTGTTTAACAAAGCTCCAACTAAGCATAATAAATGATAACCGCTCAATAATACAGACGAATTATTATGTTATGTCCTGCGGGCGTTTTCTAATGTTCCGTTTTATATCAAGCGCAGGCATGTCGCACATCCGTGAGTTTTAGGCCAGTATGGTCTTTGTGCGTACATCCCGTCTTCGGTATTGATAAGTACTAACTCTTTTATATTGCTTTTGCGAAACGAATAAATATACATACAAATCATCGGATCATTTGCCGCTGTTCGCCTGTCAACATGGAATTGCTGATTTGAACGGGCCTCATGGACGAATCAGATGGTGTTTCTTATTCTTACGTTATCAAGTCTTCTTGCCCTTTCTCTTTAGATAAATATATATGATCCAATACTTTCAGTCGATGCCAATATATTTTGCACATATGCAGATTAGATATATACGTGGATTACACAAATGAGGCAATAAACGCACATATTGTTATTGCAAGGCATAATTGTACCTTTCTGTTTATCAATGCTGGCCTAAACTGATTCAGTGCCCAATGTGAAACACATTATGATTAAATTTGGGTAGAGACAAATTTAATATCTGTGAGATTTTAGATTAAATAAAATGAGTTCGTCTTCACAAGTATTAAATCAGAATAAATGTTGCCTCAGCACTATTTTGGGTACAAAAAAACGCAAAAATTTAGCGTGAACACCGCAACCGTTTGAAACTATTACAATATTTGCCTTCAGAATTATAAACGGTTTTGAATGTTTCATATCCACGCTAAACGGTGTCATGAAGTCGAGTAGCATACCAGAAATTGGATGTGCTGTATAAAGCTCCCGCCAAAAGACACTCCCGCCAACGCTTAAAATTAATAATTATCCAGTTTGGGTTGGGGGCTAGGAATAAATATACGACATAATATACGACAGTGCTCTTCCTAGGGTTCCGCATGCAGTGTGGTTCCGGGAGTTTATAGGGTTCCGTAGGGGTTCCGCGTTTTTTTTTTTTTCGGAGGAAATCATTTCTTGCTTCAGTATGTTGATGCGTCATTATAAATATTCTCAGACCACCGTGTTACCACCATAGTTACATAATGTTCAAAGTATGTAGATATTGCTCGAGACTAGAGAGAGCATATACTACAAACTAGAATTGTTGTTCAGCTTTTGTTGGAATATAGTAAAAATAGTGTGAAACCCAAATTTTTAATATTTAGTCAATACAGATGGAGCAAAATAGTATATTTTCGTATGTGAGACGAAATAATAACGGTGAAGGTCAGGACGGCAATGAGCGGCACCTGCTCCTTCTCCGAAGCGAAACAAATGTAATTCAATTGTCAAAGTTTAAAAAAAATTTCAATTTTGCTAATTGGGGTTCCATAAAAAACGAAAAATTATATCAGGGGTTCCACAATAACAAAGAGGTTGAAGAGCACTGATATACGACTGATTAATCAAAAAGGTCCGACATCCTTGTAACAGGACAAGAGCTCACGAATTTTCTCTGAGCTTCGCAATGATTGCTCGACTCACGTGGACGGTACTATTTACTACTATTATGAAATTGAAATTAGAAATATGTGGCAAATAATTCGTACAATTGGGATGCAGGTAAAAGTCACTATGACATTCATGTTAATACATTTTGTTAGTTTAAAATTATATAGTAGGAGTGTTAAGAATATATGCGGATCTTTTGTACAAAGCCCCCACCGAAGAAAACGCTTGAAATTAGTAATTATCAGGGTTATCCATGGTAATCCGGATCGGATAGCACACAGTTGTATTTTCCATGGGACACGAAAACCGTATGATTTTCGGGGAAATGATGGTAAAACATTAAGTTATGGATTTCGTGTCCATATATTTGAGAATTGCTCTCTTGTTAGTTATAAAGAGCAAAATATATTCAGCATTAAAAATAGACTTCGTGAAAGGACTGATGGACACATGTATAACAGTTATGAATATAAAGTTAACAAAGTCTGTAAATTTTGTTGCTTTGCATGTTTCTTCGTACATGTAGTCCTATTTAGTGGACGCTAAACCTAAATTAACAATTATTATTGAATTTTATTCCAATGGGAATCCTATAGGATGGGAATGGGACAGAAAAATATGTCCCAATGAACATCCCTGGTAATTATCCAGTTAGGGTTAAAAATGCAGATTGAGCTGGAAATTCAAAATTTCAAATCATTCCTAAGCCTAACTGTATAATATTGAATAATTGGTTATTTTAAAACGTGGTGTTTTTTTCTAAAAACATTTCTTTGATAAAAGTTCCCACTGAGCAAAATTTTCAATCCGGTTTCAAATTTCGCAGACTGCACCCTGGACTGAACCCCGGTAAAAAGAATTTTTGAGTCCTTGATAATTGACCTTTGTATTCTTATTAGCTTCGATTGTAATTTGACTGTGAGAATTCGAATTGAACGGAAAACTATTATACCAAACCTCGTCAGGTAGTGTTATAGTTTCCCCAGTTGTAGAATGAATTTCGCCGTTTGAATTCTGTAAAAAATATAATTTGAGCTTACTTTGAAAACGTACTAAATTCAAGCGATGTTTTACGCCTTCTTTGTTAACAAGTTACTTGAAAAACAGCCATGGTATGAGTGGAGGGAGGTTCTATGAACTGCAATGGCAATATATATATCTAAACCTGGCATGGGCATACTACAGCCCGCGGGACAAATCCGAACTGCTAGGTAATTCAATCTGGCCCGCCTGATGCTGCCACAGCTAAACTGAAACAAAATTTTGATGTTTTAGCTAAAAATAGCTCATGGAATTTGTTGAGACTGCGGTTAAATTCAGTTTTAGCACGAAGCTTATTGTTTTCCACCTTCGCTTTGTAACACTGTAAATATTGTTCATAAAATAAACTTTTTACGTCACACTTACATGGCCCGCTAGATTAGGTGAACAAAATTTTTGGTTTCTGGTTCAAAAACCTTTCCCACCCCTGCTAGACACATAAACTGTCATAATCTGGTAAAATATGAATGGAGGTTCATGTTATTTGAAGGCCAGATTCTTCCCGGTTCAGGATATATCACCTTTGGGGTTCTAGTCGGTATTAACCAGTCCCAATCGATATCGACACAAAGGGTACATTTAACAGCCTTGGCCCTGTTCCGTCATTGCGTTATAATATAACGGTGTTATTATCCCGATAATATATGGCGTTCATTAAAGAAAACAATGTTCAAAATATTTTTTAGAAAAGAGGCAGCCGGAGGGCGCCAATTAATCGTCCGTTGAGTACGACCTCGAATTCTAAAGGGCTCTCGTGATAAATTTTGTCATGTCGGAGTCGTGAAATTTCAATAATTAATTGCAAGTTGGTAATATCTCTTACTGCCCTTATTCATTCTATCAACCAATCTATGAAGTATCGTGCCAAGATATGTAGGCACAAATGTAGCCACTTTAGTTTTTGAAACATCAAAATAACTTAATTTCTGTGAAAATAGTGAAAAATAAAACTAATTAATACTAAAATTACAATTAGAAATTCCGTGAAATCGAATTTCAAAAGTTATTAGGTTCTATTAGTATTATTTAATTTGTTTTTCAATCTTTTCACATGTATCAGGTTATTTTGGTGTTTCAAGAAATAGTGGCTGCATACACGACAGGGCCGTAAAATTCCGATAAAATCCTAAAGTATAGCTAATTACTGACCTGATATCCCATTCCTGTCCAAAATGATCTATACTCAAGCCCAAATGTTGTCCGTAGATAAGCCATCATTGAACGGAAATGCTCCACATCATAAATGTTGGCAAGTTGTGCTCCTCCGGCCGCTTTGCAAAGTTCTTTAGCGTGTTCAAGACTAACGTTGTAGGAAGGGTACACGAATGCTTGGAAGCATTTGGAATTGTATTCAAATTTGCAATGACCTGAAAATTGAGAAGGCAATAATAATTTTATATTAATTGAGTTTCGGTGGGACAAATCATTTATCCTTCTTCTATGCTGTAACATTTCGTCATACCAAGGTCGGAGTTCCTCAGATATATATGATTCAAATTCATCAGATTACTTCTATTTTCAATTTTTTCCTGAATCTTGTGGAACCTATTATGTATGTTTGAGGAAGTCTGACAGACGTTACAGAATAAATTTGGTATTATCCACAGAAAATCACTTAAAACAAATAATCTATAGATTTACTCGGTTTTACAAATATACGTTTTTTTTAATATAAACGTTCTGGGACAAATAACTGTAATTGGGCACGATTTTGGGCAAATTGATAAAACAATTATTATTTTAGAAGTTACCCAAGAAATCCCATTTATTAGATAAGATAATTGCGTCTTTGAAATATTAACGGCGGCCAAGCGTTTTATGTTGGGGCGGATCAAGCATAATGACATTGGGCAACCGCCCCGTGCAGCACGGTATAATCAGTAATCAGTAGTTTATTTTTCCACCATACTAAAATGAAACAGGGAGTCTGTTTTATTGTCAAACCATGAGACACGCAATATATGCAATAAATAGATAAACGACAATATCGGTCGGAGACCAAAGACTTATCGATCGAAACTGCGGTTTCGATTCATGACTCTATAGTGACACCGCGTGTCCCATCACCAATTAATTAGTAACTCGCTAATTATACGACATAATTCATCCAAAATCAATAGGCTTCTGGTCCGAGATATGATGAATGCACATACAAAATGGAGCAGATTCAACCACGCCTTCGTGAGATATCGCGTGCATCTAACAGACAGACAGACAAACAGACAAATACCTATAAACATCGGGAAACATCGGGAAGTAACCCGTGAAGTTGGAACTAATTTTTAGGTATTATATATAACTAATAAAAAAATACATGAATTTTATAAAATTCAAGGTTTTTTGAAACTTCAGATAAAGGCTAAGCAGGATTCAGGTGTAGCAAAATAATTTACGAACTCCCCAGTCACATCTGATTTATTTTGTTTTCGTTGAAATGATGTGTTGAAGGATTAATTGCAAAGTCAAATAGTGAATTTTTTCTAGATTGCAGAGAATAAATTTTAACTTGTATGTCAGGCGAAATAGTTCCAATTCTCGATATTACAATTGTATAAATATAAGTCATGAGGCTAAGTTTGAAAAAAAATTAGGAGCTCCAGAAGTATATGCACCAAGATGGCGCACAACCTGAACATCAACCTGGTACACATGCTACATTCAGGTTGTGCGCCATCTTGGTGCACATACTTCTGTGGAGTTCCAAAAATAATGCATTATCAAGTTTATGCATCTGAAACAAATAACTGGTTCAATGTCCAATACGGATTGGTCGCTGACCCGAAGACTGTTACAGTCCTTCGTGACCCCTAATCGATTGCAATGAAACCCCGACGTTATTCCTTATGTGTATATTTCGATTTTTTTTTTAAATTCCGGCATACACTTTTTCTTGTATTGATTCTTGCATGATAAGAATAAAATATCTCAATTTGGTAACCGGACGAGAGACCGTGGTTTGCTATATGATAGCTCGACTTCTCCCGCAAGAGATGAATATGCAAATCCTACTCTAAATTCTGATACTGAGGCTATATTTCACAAACCTTGGGCTGTCAAGACGTCTACTCTCGCCTTCGCTGGATTGAGGGCCATTGTCGTGAATATTTCATTAATTTTTTTAATTTCCCTCTGCATTTTAATCAGTCTCAGATTCGTTTGGCGTTGCGTGCGTTCCATTACTGTTGAAAAAGGAAAAAATTATCTCGAGTACTCGATCGAGGTGTTTGAAGCATAGTTTTCGGTAACGATAGCAACCGCATCTGAAGACTATTGATTTTTTTCGAAAGTTATGTATTTAAAGCGTCGTGGTGTTAATGCAGCTTAAGTAGTGGCATAAGTGCATTTTCTGAAATGCAGGAAACATCTTGTTTGTGAGCTCGATACAAAAGAGAGCCTGTTCTAAAAAATTTGAATCTTATCACTGACTAGACCAGGGGTCACCAACCTTTTCGAAGCCGAGGGCTACTTTAAGCCGAGAGCTACCAATTAAATGTACACTTCTATAAAAGTCAGTTTGGTCGATTAAGTTTCAATTATTGATAATTACTGGTATTTAGTCAAGTAGAGACACTAATAAACTTTAGGATTCTTCAGGAAATCAAACGATTATCACAACTCTATTCAATTCAAGAGTCTTGCTGCACACTAACACAAATGTATTTCTGTAACGTTTCGTTTGACCAAGGTCAGACTTCTTCAGACAAGCATTTTACAACTGTGGCAAGAAACGCAATGGCATGCACATATATAATGATATCAAATGTTGGTTCTGTTTTCGATAGAGAAAATTAAATAAGATTGGGAAAGTGAGAGAAAATTGAAACTGAAATTAGACAATTTCATGCTGACTGTAACTCCGACTGCGGAGTTGCCTAAGTACGTGTGAGGGTCAAGTACGAACTTAGCTTTAGACGCCACATAATACTTGAAACTGTACTTGAAAAAACACGGGTTCGTGGAAGGTGATATCTGTGTGATGTCATAATTGGAAGATTATTAAATGACCCGTCACATTACTGAGGTCAAATCAGGTTGATTGTTGCAATAATTAATATAGTGCCATTCCCAGTTCCCATAGAAGTGTGATTTATTCAAGAATAACAAGACAAAAATTAATTGATGTAGCTTACTCATAAGTGCTGTTATTAAGCTTATTTCGAAACAGCCTGCGGGCGACTCATGTGGTCTTCTCGGGCAACTTGGTGCCCACGGGCAACGGGTTGGTGACCCCTGGACTAGACTATAATTGTAAAGTCTCAGTTGCTCAAAGATGATTCTCCTCTATTTCTAAGTTCGTGCGCGGGGCCTTGCTTTGAGCAAATTCACTTAAAAACAAGAATACGCAAAGGCATGAATAAGTAAAGCCGAAATAAATGAAAACTTACTTTCTTCGATCCTTTCCTGGATTGCAGTTTGTATGCTTTCATCAAGATCTTCAATTTCTTCTTCTTCGCTTCTGAGAGAGAGAGAGAAAGTGAGTGAGTTTAATTTTCTTCTATTGAAAAACTGACTATGCTCTTGATAGAGTCGAAAACGAGTCATTAAACACCCAATTTGCAAATATGAAAAAGCTTATGTTGCAACTATACTTTCTTTCAATAAGGTCAAAGGCATCGCATTTCACTAAGTTTAGCGTCGTTTCATAATATAATGCCAGATGTTATATCGGTGATTCAAATACCAGCAAAAAACGTTATCAAATCAGACTCCGAACCACACACATCCCTGTTGAAAACTGTGTATTGACTGAGATTTAAAGCATAGTTCCATGTCTGAAATCTTGGATTAGAAATTGAAAATTATTTGTTCCATACCTTGATGCTTCTAGAATATTCACATCATTTTGGAACACTTCAATACTCTGCACAGCTGGTCGCAACCTCATGCATATTTTATCTGGTTGGCGTCTAGCATCAACATCCGACATAAATACGAAGATAACTAAAAATGACGTAATTACCAGTGACGTCATTGTCCTGGTCGTATCTAAAATAAAAATAAATCACTTAGTGGTCAACAAGCATGGGTCATATCTATCATAGTAAATTGAAATTTTTGAGTTAACCGAAGTCTTGTTAGAATTTGGCGGCGCAGTAGGAGGTTTTGAATTCCGCAAAATAACCCGTGAAAGACCGGGCTCTTGTTGAGATATTTTGAAAAAGGATGAGTTGATTACGCTTTGCTAATATTCCAATTGAAAGTTTAGTTCGGTTTTATCTGCCTATAGCAGAGGTGTTCAATTCCTTTAAACAAGTTGTAAATGGCCGGGGTTATGTTAGGCTTTTATAGCAGTTAGGACCAGTATTTTTCCCGGCTTTTCATTTTAGAGGGGGTGTTTCAAAATTTCGGGGGTGGTATCTGCACTGGCATATAATTCACTTTCTGAATATTCAAATACAATTAATTTAATTCAAATTGGGATTTAAATTGCAGTGTCATCGCTGGTTAGGACAAAGGGTATTTATTGTGGAATAAATCACGCGTCGCTAATACGAATCGAAAAGGCCAGCCAGCACGGACAATAAAATGGTACAAAGGCATGGTACCTTAAAATTTAGGGGTAACCCAAAGTATCGGTGAGTTTTAGCGACCTGATATTGTGTAAAACATGTTGTAAATGACCGTGATTTTGTTGAGTTTTGACGACAGTTAGTATAAACGCTTCATATGGTGGATAACGCCTTTCTAGTACTGTGATCAATTCCAACAACCCAAACGGCAACAATTGTATCATTTGCGATTTATTGTACGGGGGCATAATGGGCTTTGGACTTGGTAATAGCTAAATGAGGCACGATGAAATATAGATCTTGTTCGGGGCAAGTTTCAAGGTAGAACTAAAAATTTCCAAAAAAATTGTATAATTGAGCTTTCTAGTACTTATTAGGAAACTTTTGTATAAAGCGCCCGCTACTAATGCAAAAATTTGTTTGAGATTTGAGAAAAACACCCCCGCCACGTTTTAAAATAACAAATTAGTTATTATCCAGTAGGACATCGGTTCCCAAATAGTGCGCCGTGACGAGTTACAAGGTGCGCCGCGAAAATTTACAGAATTGAATTGTGATAAACATAACTGGAAGATGATTGAAAAACACCCCCGCCACCATTTGAAATAACAAATTAGTAATTATCCAGTAGGGGTTAGGAATGATTTGAAAATCTGTATTTCAAGCATAATCTGCTTTCTTAACCCAAAACCTAATTTAACTTGATATTTACTATATTTTTTATTTTGTGGTTGGCGGTGGTGTTCTTTATGGCGGGGTCTTTGTACAAAAGATCCCATATTAATTTATGATATTTTTAACTTAAGAAATAAACCAATACCGATCCATTTTGACTTTTGACGCTACTATGTCGAAGCCATGATATCGGATGAATTACCTATTCTACACGAAATATTAAAAGTTTGATTTTTCAATCATAATCTTTGGCTTATATGCAATAACAAATTGCAAAATTAAGCCCTAATACTTTATTACGAGTAGTGAAATTTGAACGACAAAATGGCAAATTTCGAGCATTGTTTGCGGTATTTCCGAAGACATAATAGTTTCCGGGCGGCGCGATGGCCTAATGCCTCCCACCTCACAAAAGGTGTAAGAAATTGAATAGAAAATCCAAAATAAGAAAAGCTGCAACTTTCGAATGACTAACGGTACGTCCATACAGAATATAGTAATAGCTATCAGGAAATACATACTGAAAGTCTGACCAAACTCAGTGACCATGCACCCTCAAATAACACGCTTTCGAATAAAAGAGCGCCTCGAAAACAATCGCGTACTACCGCTGCTCTTTCTATAACAGCCTTACTTTAGTTTCGCCCCAAAACCGTGTTTTATCTTGCAAACGATTTATTTTTTCTGAAAAGTGAATAAAAACCTGTTGTATCATTAGTCTATCTTCACTATTTTTTGCAGACGAGGCATAGTTAAAAATTTTGTAACTTTATCTGATCGCCCCAAGGCGCGTAAAATTACGAAACCTGATATGCCTTTGGTACCCGGCAAACTTTACCGCTGAGTTCAAATGATTGATACTGTAATAAAAACACGTTGAAGTTAAATAAATTTGGGAGTGATTTGGACTTTAGAGCATAAAAATAGAATATTATATACTGTATATGGGAAATTTTATCGGTATCCTTGCAATTTTTTTAAGTGTCGTGGGAAATGGATCGTTTTATTTCTTATTCACTTTTTATCAATTATATCTCCAAAAATATCCGTTTCATTCCTTCTTATATTATCTAGCTAGTTTATGGGTGAAATATTTTAAAGTGAATGAAAACGTAGCACTTCTATTGTAAACGATTTTTTGGAAAGTTTGTCAGTTGTGACTTTTATTTTAGTTCTAGTTGCTCTGTTGATTCGGTTTGTGTTAAATATTTTATTGCTTAGGCTATTCTGAATTACCCAAAACACCAAAAAGTGTTCTAAATCCAGTGCACAAACGAGTTTCAATGAAAATTATTTGAGTCAATGCCTGCGTTTCAAACCGCGCATAAATTCTATCTCAGGGAGGGCTTTCGTTGTTTTGGGGGAAAAGAAAAAAGGAAATATTACCTTTCTCTTTGGTGTAATTTTACCATGTACTTTTAGTATTATTGCAATACATGTTTATGAATACATTACAGACTATTTAAATCACAAGCCAGAGTGCGAATTGTGCGTAATACTAGTCGAAGATCCTTTAAAAATTGAACAAATAACAAAAATGCATGATCAATGATCAAAGTAGGCAGAGGGAAGTATATATCGAAAAAGGTCGGGAACCACAGGGTTACACAAAGACTCGTCAACATACCATTTTACAATTTTTGGATATTACGTCGACGTCGAGGCAAATTTCGAACAAGTTATTGAAAAAAGAGAATTTCTTGATATCGGCAAGGATGACATAATGGCACTTTTCAAATCTTCAAACACAAAATATTCTTCTGAGGATGTTGAATGGGAGGCGATGATGAAATGGGTGAATCACGGTGTCGGAAATAGGAGAAAAATATTTCCAGACTTGTTCAGTTTTCTCAAACTTGAGCATTTATCTCTCGAGTTTCTAAAGGAGACAGTCCGAGTTGAACCCTTGGTTAAGAAAGCAGAGAAATGCAATGATATGCTGATGGAAGAAATATTTTCCCGAGCTTCAAAAGCTGTTCCACAAAGTAAAACAAACAAAGATAATTGATAAATAATAATTGCACTGGCTCTAGTGAAGTAAACTGTAACTTAAATGACGGCTAACATAAATGTGATGCAGAATGAATGCAGTAACTGCTCAAGCGAGTTTGCGATCGGAGATTGCTGACTTATCGATCTAGCGGCGTATCCTTTGCTCTTGACTCAACAGCGAAACCGCGTGTCCCATCACTAATTAATTAATAATTCCCTAATTATACGTATAATTCATCCATCTTAAATCAATAGGCTCCTGAATGTCGACGAAGAAAAGGTGGACGACTCACCTGTCCTCTCGTGAGTCAAGTTGTCTGACTCTCGTATATCCCATACATTTAGCGTATTGTGTTAATGCAAGACGGACTTTTATTTTTAGAAAAAAATATCATTTGTTTTGTATTTTCACACACATTTGTGTTCGTCATTAATTAAGCACTTACAGCGTTCATTGTCACACCACATTTGTTTGGTTTATTTAAGCAGTTATGGCATTTGCTTCACGGGACACAAATTTTCCATACGGGTGCAGCATGACATCTTAAAGCAGTGGTTCCCGACCTTCCCACCCCAGCTAATTGCTAACATCAAATGACCTCGTTGACCCGCTACACAATATGAAATCAATACAATAGAAGTTATCAATCTATGCTTGAGTAACATACACATTGTTGACACAGACTAGAACAAAAAATCACAAAATTCAAATAGCTAGATCGATTTGCTTGGCAGAAAGTTTCAAGCGAGCGGCAAAAAAGTCAGTCCACTAAGCAGTTGGGAACCGCTGTTTTAAACATTTGTCATCACGATTTTTGCTTTTGTTAATTCATATTTATTCTGGAGTTTATTAAAATAAACTTTGAATGGGAGCGAATAATTTTTTTGTTTGTATTAAGAATTGAGATTGCTAAATATATTCGGGTCTTGTGTAGTTTTGTACCTAACGTACTTCTTGGGGCGTAGCATAACAATTTTTTTGACATGTCAATCCAAACCCCCATCTGACTACGCCATCTAAAAATTACGTCACTACGACATCATAATCGTGTCATAGAGATTGCCAAATATACTGATGATCGCCCGAAATGGCATCGACGCCGACGATAAAAAATTGACTAATGTCAATGATCTCTCTCATATCGGGATCGTTGCAACGAGAAAAATAGCTGTTTGATTTCGGGTACTCGTCTGTGCGTCGTGGATGTCAGTTCGTATAGTTTGGAGGGCTCTATTACATCACGGTGACGTCGTAGTGACATAATTTTTGGATGGCGTAGTCAGGTGGGGGTTAGGATTAATATGTGCGAAAATTGTTATTCTACGCTAGATACTACATGAGACTTATATATTCTTAATGTTTACAGATCCCATGCCTCTTCCCTGCAATGATGACCGAAGACAGACTCCTTTACAAAATGAATCGCAATTTGACCACCAAGGTAACGTCAATGTTCAAGAACAATTTAGTTTTCTAAAACATAATGATCTACTACTTTAGTTTTAAAAAGAAATTGTTAGATCCTTAGTAAAATAGTCAGAGAGATGCAAAGACAATATCATAAATGAAATTCAAGTAAAGCAGACAAATGAGTGCCAAATAGTATCTCCTACTTTTTGTGTCTGTGATGATGTTAATATTCATATTCCCTCTTTTACAGTTCCTTCAATGCCCGTGTCTAACTCCACAACTCGTCAAAGGCAGATTGAAGAAATGCAAGAGCAAAAAACACTGAATGAGCCCACAGAGGTAATCCAAAGTCTGTGTGATTTCCTCCAATAATCGACTCCTTCATATCAGTTCTTGGCACATTTTTCACTCACCTATCACAACTCTTCAAATTTGATTTAGGATTGAAAAACTTCTCTTATCATAATCATACAATTAAATATGTTGTATATATGCCTACTATACTTTCTGTTGTCTAGTTTTATTCTTTTTACCAGATTAGATCTATTTCAGTTGTTTTGTACTTCATCATTTCTGCCCAAATTTTCAACCTGATAATATGAATTAATTATAAACGAATTGGTTTATATATCATATTTATCTCGCATATCAATTTCTTCATAAAATGTCGGTGTTGAAGCATTCAGTATTTTCTTAGTTTACATCCCGGTCAATGGTGACTATGATTCTTACACTTGTATTACCGATACATTAATCTTCATCAGAATGAGCGCTAAATAGTTTATTATGGTTTATATGTCTGTGTGGGTTTTTGTTCACAGCTCAACGAATAGCCGAGTCCACTAATCACTGTGAAATGGATGTTCCTCATCACATATGATTAATGATTGAATAAGTTTTCTTTTTCATCATAATAATTTCATAAATGATGTCGTAGATAGGCCTACTATACCATACTTAAAATCATGTTGTAGGTTCTATACCAGGGGTGGGCAAGATTTTTGGACAGGGACCAAGAATTGTGCCCATCTAGACTGGTGGGCCATGTAAGTGGGACGTAAAAATTAATTTCAGTAACAATATTTACAGTGTTATGAAAGCAAAAGTGGAAAACAATAAGCCTCGTGCCAAAACTAAATTTATTTACAATTTCAACATATTCCCTGAGGTAATTTTTAGGGAAAACATCAAAATTTGGTTTTAGTTTAGTTGTTGCCCATGTCGAAACAAAATTTAAACACAATTTCAACAAATTCTTGAGTTATTTTTTACTTGAGACATCAAAATTTGGTTTTAGCTTGGTTGTGGCAGCATCAGGCGAGCCAGATTGAGTTACACAACAAGTCTGATTTGGCCCGGAGGCCGTAGTTTGTCCATATCAGTTCTATACTCAATTTCAACGTTCCCAACGTTCAGGTTTTATGTTTTAAACTGGTTGAGAGACCATTTTTCACCGTATGATAAAGCTTTTATTAATAGCATTCCTTTTTAAACAGTAAATATGAACCTGCTTATGTTGGGTAAACTATTTAAATATGATGTCCAATACCAATACTTTTCGGGCAACACTCTTCAATATTTTTACCACCATAGGACAGGTATTCGAGTTTTGAAGGCAATTAATTGTACTAGTACAGCATACTCAATTTATTAGTATTTGTGGATGAAGCGATGTGAGTGGCGTTTGAATTTGGAATCTTTATCCTGCAAAGTCTGCCTAGTTCGGTGAGAGGTATTAAGATTGAAACATAAGCACATGCCTCATGGGGCACATCGTGCGAAGCGTTACGCTCACCACTGCACCTCTGATTACCCTGCGTGGGGTCGCTGGTTTAAATCCCATGCGGGAGTTGTTATGTGCGAGAGGATTGCTGGACTTTTTGCCGCTGTAGGTTGGTTTTTGTAACCGCTGGTCAGTTAGGGCTTCCTCCACCATCAAGTCCATGCTTCTGAAAACAGATAACTAGCTAATCTCATACCCGACATGGAATGGTAACCTAACGCGAAGCTGTGGTTCGCCATATGGTTAAGCCGTCTTACCTTTTTTCACAGGATAAATTTGTAAATCCTATCCTATATACCTCAGTCCTCAATAAGTTTCAACCAAGTTCCCATTCCTTGATCACACTAAATTAAGCTAGTATTTTAAGTGAGGATATCATGAAATAGCATATATTTAAGTGTTTCGACAAAAAAGATATAACAGCAAATATAAAGAGCATAATAATTGTCAATTTTGACTTATGGTCTGTCTCTCCTTCTCTGCCTAAGATAAGCAATGCGTCTTACTCTTGCTGTTTCGGAATCATTTTAAATCTGCTGAATTACATGATATGACTGTAACATTATTATTTCTGTGCATTTCCTATTAAGGAAATTCATACATAGCTCATGAATTCACTGAATATTTGCCAAATAACGAGAATGGAGAGAAAATTTTTCAAATGCTTGAAGAAGCATTCAACGGAGGATTTATTTTTAAGATGAATAGTAGGCAAGGAGGAAGAATAATATGGGATGAGAATATACCTCATTTGAAAGAGCCGCGTAGGATAGCTAGAAGGTGAGATTTTTTACTATTGGCATCGTGATTGTCTGACACTTTGTTGAAGCTGTATCATCCAAATTCCTTGGTTCCAGGGGCGGACACCCATTGGGCCCCCCCCTTCTGTTTGTTAGCAAGAGCCGTGGGCTAATATTCAAGAAATTGGTTCAGTGACGCGCAAGTTCCGTGTCCAAGCAAAGCAGACGAGGTACTCGATATATGAGTAGCAAAATGACATTCTAATGCTTAGAGAATGACATCTACAGGTCATTGTTACGCGACGATACACGGCGCGGTGTTTTTCGGTAGGCGATCCAAGTTCGCCCCCCCCCCCAAAAAAAAAATTATGGAAAGTGTCCACCTCGGCTTGGTTCAGTGAGTACGTTCATCATTCGGTACTTCCGAAGTATGTGAAGCAAGATGGCGGACACCGGAACGTAGTAGGTGTACCAGGTTAGGGTTAATCTATAATTTCAGGTACAAATATTACGGGACTCACTAGGCTAGTCCCCTAGCGTGTAATAGAACTAAAATAAGGGAAATTGAAATAAATTTATGGCCTAACCCTGACCTGGTACACATACTTCGGTCTTAGCTCTTATTCAAGTGTTTTTAGTAATGAATTACCTGATTAACACAGAGGCATGAGTGGGTTCGATGGCCGTGTGGTAAAATTGTTACTACATAAATATGTTTGGTTTCAACCCATAATCTATATTGGCTTTGCAAAACTTAAAATTACAACTCCTTGCCTATAAGTGGATTATCCAGAGTGAAAATGCCTCATATGTGCTATTCCGTAGCAGAATACATACCCATTTTGTGAATCGATTATTATTGTTCGCTCTCACAAAATACTCAATTTTTCTATTTATAACCTGAGTTACTCTATTTGTCAATATCCATACAGCAGTGTGATCTTCTTTTAATACTCGAGCAAACATAATAAGATCAATTCGAAGTGGGCTGAAGTCACAACCTAAGATCTTAGTTCAATATACTTCGAAGACAACTGCATGAGTACATACATTAGGCTTCAATTCACTAAAACTAATTAGGGTATCTTGAAGCAGTAGCAAAACATAACGCACATAAAATCATGCCAATAATCATGATTCAGCAGATAGAGTATTTGTTGCCAGTAATCTGATACAACAAAGTTCAGAATTCCGAAATAAGCAATATTAATTACACAAAATATATCTCAGAAAATAATTTACCACAATACACCTGAATTAGTATTTTTAAACATGGAATACAGTATACTAAATGGGAAAATACTAGAAATGGGATTCGGGTATAATAAGTATTTGAAATAAACAGTGTTTTGATTGTTTTTTTTTTCATGATACGATAATTTTTCTCGTAATGCCAGAAGTTGACTTAAATGTAGTAATTGTGTAACCGTTATACTGGGCTAAGATGCCGCATTCGCAATGAAAGAGTCCGGTTTGCTAATTACAGACAATCATGTAACATTTTCAATGCAGTGTCAGTATTCTGTTGTTGCGTAGTTGCGTATTCCATTATATTTTAGGATTTATTTGATTTAATATTTTTCATGCTGTAACTACCCTGTATAATAACAATTATATCACACATATTATGCAAATTTTAATTTTGCCAAATCCTTTAATATTTAATGAAACGTGATACCGTAATTTATTTTTTATAATCGGACAAGATGAAACTTATTCAATATCATATTCCCATTCTGTAATTATGCAGGTATTATCGGAAGTATTACAGTATTGATTTATTTGATTTTTTTAATTTAATATTTTTTATGTTGTAACTACCTTGTGTAATAGCAATTATATCACACCTATTATGCAATTTTTAATTTAGCCAAAGCCTTTAATTTTTAATGGAACGTGATACCGTAATTTAACTGTGCATACTATTTATAATTGACCAAAATGAAACTTATTTATCTAAAAATATATCACATTATCATGCTGCAAACATGCAAGTATTATTGTGAGCTCTAGCTAGAGAATTACTAAGAACCACTAGTAGAACTTTAGGTACTCAAGATGACGGACACTGGAACGTAGTATGTATACCAGGTTAGGGTCGGGCCATCATTTCAGGTACAAATACTGTGGGAGTCACTTGGCTAGTCCCCGAACTTGTAATAGAACTAAAATAAGAAAAATCGAAATAAAATTATGGTCTAACTGTAACCCGGTACAAATACTACGTTCCGGTGTCCGCATATTTCAGGAGTACAGAATGTTATAGTATCAAACAAAGTTCACTGTGTCATTATAAACATCCAACTATTTGGTAGGCTACATTCCACCTTCGAAAATCAATAATTGTTTTAAGTATAGGAAAGGCGACCGAAATAGGTGACTGCTCATTTGAAAGAACTTTTTTGGGTACTCCCGTAGTGTGTGTACCAGATTAGCGTTAAGGCCATAATTTTATTCCGGTTTTCCTTATTTTATTTCTATTACGAGTTCGGGGACTGTCTGTGTTAGCCAAGTGAATATACCCCCTGCCCCTATGCTTCAATCTCTTCACACAATTTGATGTAATGTAGGCGAACGAAATTACTGTAGTTACGTCCATGTTGGTACACATACTTCTGGATCGCCTTATGTTGTCTTAAATTTCACTCAGAGACTCTGAACAAGCTACTACTGATATGAAGTGCTGGAGACTTGAGGTACAATGCTATTTCACTGTAAAAAGTCTAGCAAATGCTTTTTTTAAATCAAGTTTATACATAATACATTGTCAGCACTAGTTTTCAAAGGTAAAAATTTATTAGTCAACAAGGGTTGTTTCCAACCGTTGGTCCACCAGCAGGGAATCCAGGGGTCAAGCAATTTCACATTAAAATGCCAGGGTCCATATATTATTATGTGTACGTTGTTCAAATATAATCCAATACACGGATAGAATATTTGTATTTAACTATTGATGCTATTTGGTTTGTGGCATATTTTATATATATATATATAATTCTAGAGCCTTTGGTATATTTCATTAGGGTTCTGCCACACCAAAAAAGGTTGAAAACCACTGATCTACATACATTATTTGTAAAAGGGCAATATAGCATGGTCCGCGGACCGGCGGTTGGGAACCACTGGTC